TGGTGCTGGCAGGGCTGGTTTCCTCTGAGGCCTTCCTCCTTGGCTTGCAGATGGCTACACTCTTGCTGCCTCTTCACATGGTCTTCCCTTTGTGCAGGAGCATCTGAGCTGTCCCGCAGTGTTCAGATTTCCTCTTATAAGGACAGTAGGCGATTGGATTAGGGCCCACCCTAACGGTTCATTTTGACTTAATTGCCTCTTTTTAAAAACCCTGTCTTCCAAATACAATCACATTCTGAGATCCTAGTGGGGAGGGGGGAGTTTAAAGCATCAACCTAAGAATTTTTTTGCGGGGAGGGACACAATTTACTCCACAACAGGGGAGAAGAGAGTGAGGGGGCGTGTCAGTGAAGGCCTCTCTAATTCAAGAACAGTTTCTTTGGTTCCTGAGGTGTGAGGGATGAGCCCTCTAGGACTTGACTCATTTATTTAACTGCCTTGAGTCCCAGTTTGCTCACCTGTAAAATATGGTTAATAAAACCCAATAAATGTCAGTCTCCTTCTGCCCCCCACCCGCACCTTTTCCTTCTGCCCCTTTCTTCCTGTCTGCTCCCCAGTTCCACTTCCGATCAGGGTGCTTAGTAACTGGGCCCACAGAAAGGACCGGGATTGCTGGCCCTTCCCCCCGCCCCCCTCGTTCCCAGCTCCCAGAGGGCTCTCTCACAGGGGTGATGGCATCCCCACCCAGTTCTTTGGACCACGTGTTCTTGGGGGTGGCTCTCTCCTCTGAGGAGCCGCAAACACTGTTTTTACATGAGCAAGGAGTGACACTTGGAGGAAACTGGTGCAGGACTATAAACATAAAATACCAGTTGCAGGCCACAGTGTGGGATGGCTGCCAGGGAAAGAGCTCCCCGTTCAGGCGACGAGGTCTTACCCTCCCCGTGCCACTCTCTCTTCTCTCATTAGAGGTGTCGCCCCTCGGACCCTTGTGCATGCCCAGCCCGAGGTGGGCACTTACTGTACGCTTGAGAAATAGGTGAATATATTCATACCTGGGTGTGGGGTCAATCAGCGCTGTCCCCGAGCCCGGTGTGACTTTAGACACAAGGCTGTATTCCTTTGGGTCCTGAGCCTTAGCCGCCATGATGAGTATGTCTGGTACTTATGTACATAGGCAGGGGCTTGAGTCAGACCCTCTGACCTAATCCCGATTCGCCCATTTGCCAGCTCTGATGTTGGTTAAGCCAGGCATCCTTTCCGTGCCTGTTTTCTTTGTCTGTGGAATGAGGAAAATATGAAAATAAAGTTTAGCTTTATTGTTTACATGTTTTATTTGTACATAACTTGTCCAGCATAGTGCCAGGCTATCTATAAATATATCCTTGTTTTTTTTTTTAAACTGTTAAATCTATTTCTATCACTATGGAGCTTGAAGTCAAATGAAAGTCTCCCAGTCTCATGAGAAAGGCGGTATTAATGTTCCCATTTTATAGCTGGGAAAAACTGAGGCTCAGAGAACCTAAATGCCTTAGCCCTCGGTAGCAAGTGAGAGATCTCAGACCTTCTTCTTGGTCCTCAGCTTTTCAGGCCGGTTGGTCCTCAGCTTTTCAGGCCGGTTATTTCCCAAACGTGTCTCTCATCCCGCTTACCCCATCCTGTGGATAAAGGCTGTGAAGTTGGGGCTGCGGACTGCGTGCTCTTGTGCACAACATCGAAGCAGTGGCGGTTAGGACCCAGCGCCTCACTGGCTTCTGGTATCAGGTATAAAATACAGCCCTCCCTGTTCCATCCCACACAAGCCAGTGTTTGGCAGGTGGGCGTGGGCGGCCTGGTGTGTGAAATCTGTCAGCCTGGTCCCCGCAGCGGACTGGAGCTTCCCCCCTCAGCTTCCTAGCCCACCAGCACGCTGTTCCCAGCCTGCCTCCTGCCCAGAGCCAGCCTGCCGCCCACCAGCTGATTCCTGCATTTGCCAGCGCGAGGAGGAGGTGGCCGGGTCGCTGCAAGTGCTCACGAAAAATGCCTCCTTCTGGGATTAATTACTCGATGCTGAGCGCTGGCATTCGCAGGGCTCCCTCCGCACCCTGGCTTCTCACCTCCAGTCGTTTCTACTCCTTCCTCCAAACCTCCCTGAGTTCTGCACTTTCTAGCTAGCATGTTAAACCTCATGTCAGCCAAAGCCGGTTTGGCTCAGTGGATAGAGTGTCGGCCTGCAGACTGAAGGGTCCCTGGTTCAATTCCGGTCAAGGGCATTTACCTTGGTTGTGGGCACATCCCCAGTAGGGGGTGTGCAGGAGGCAGCTGATCGATGTCTCTCCCTCATCGATGTTTCTAACTATCTATCCTCTCCCTTCCTCTCTGAAAAATCAATAATAAAAAATATATATGTATGTAAACCTCATGTCAGAGGAAAGAATGGATGGACAGTGTCCTTGGAGGCTGAGGCTGAATTTGCTGTGTTCTCAGAGTGAGGACACGGGGCCAAGGGCACTTCCAGGTTGTAAATCCCCTTGTGTGCAGACCTTCATAGCACGGCACACCCTGGCAGGCGTACTAAAGAGAGGCTTTCTTTTCCTATAAGTAAACAAGTCCCTGCTTTAATTATTCTTAGGTTGAAATAGTGGACTCCCCTCTCTCTCTTCCCCTCCCCCTTCTGGCTTTCAGACAAAAATCTGAAGAATGTGATCCTCCTGGACCTGAGCAAAGACCAGGCTCTGGGCAGGATTCAAAGCATTCTGGGCCTTACCAGGCAGCCTTTGTAGTTCCTGGATCTGGGACATTCCATGTTCGTTGTGGTCAGGAGTCACGGAGGACTAGGGGCTCATTAAGTTCCTGATCACCCAGGCCAGGTAGCTCAGTCGGTTAGAGCATTGTTCCGATGTGCCCAGGTTGCCAGTTTGATACCTGGTCAGGGCACCTACAAGAATCAACCATTGAGGGCATAAGTCACAGAATAACATCAATGTTTCTCTCTAAAAATCATTTTTAAAAATTAAAAAAAAAAAATTCCTGACTCCTCAGTGGGATCCACAGGGAATAGTGGGGAGAGGTCGGGAAGATAAACATTCCCCACCCCAACACTTTTTTTTTTTTAAATCATCACCGAGGATATTTTTCCATTGATTTTCAGAGAGAGGGAAAGTCAGAGAGAAATATTGATGTGAGAGAAACACATCGATTGGTTGCCCCTTGCTCATGTCCTGACCGGTCCTGGCTGGTCCTCCTTGCTGGATGCACTGTTTGCAGCTTCCCTTCATGTGCTCCGAGGCTGGGGGCCATGTGCACTGGCACACAGACTCTGGAGCCTGACGAGACCTCCACACAGACTCCAACAGCCAGCAAGTCACTTACACATTCTGTGCTTCAACTTCATCCGCAAAACAGGATATTAGTAGAACTATGTACGGCACAGGGCTGCTGTGTGGGTTAGGGCGATCTCGGGTGAAAAGCACTCAGAAGTAGTACTAGCGGTTGTCAGCATTGTCCTGCGACGTGGGCTTGGCGATTCCCGTTTTCCAGATGAAGAGAGAGAGGCTCAGGACGTTTAAATAACACACCCAGATTCCCTCCGAGTGGAGACCATAGCACTCACATTCACGTCTGCCTGATCTCTCGCATCCTCTGAGGCAGGGGTCCTCAAACTTTTTAAAGTGGGGGCCAGATCATGGTCCCTCAGAGAGCTGGAGGGCCGGACTATATGAACTACTAATTCCTACTGTAACACCTCGGCTGCGCTCACTGCCCAAAAAACCTGGCGGGCCGGATCAGACTCCTCTGCGGGCCGCATGTGGCCCGCGGGCCGTAGTTTGAAGACGCCTGCAGGTGTGTGCCTGTGTGGACACATCCATGTGCACATGTCTGTGTGTGTGCACATTCTGGGGAGTGGGAGAGGGTCTTGCCCAGGACAGCATGGTGTTGCCCGAATCCGGCAGCTCCCTGGGGCAGGGGCTGCTGCCCTCCCTCCTCTCACTTGCAGCTTCAGCCTTGGCCCCTTTGGAACCAGGCTATGGTTCTGGCAAAGGAGCGGTTCTTGGTGGGTGGTCAGGTTCCTGGTGAAGGATGTGTGAGGTCATCCCTGTGGCCAGGCTACCCACCTGCTCAAGGGCAGCGGGGTTGGCCAGCCGGCTTTTCAGGCCAGCGTGCTACCACAGCCTGCTCCAGGGAACTGCAATGTAATTTTTGTATGCGGTGTGAAATAAGTGGGTTTTATTGTAACTCAATGGCTCCTATTGGGGTCATTCTCCCCAGGGAGGCTGACAGCTCTGGAATGCTGCTTGTCCACCCTGGCTTCCCTGGAGAGGTGGCTGTGCCCTGGCTGCAGCCTGTATGCCCAGGCCTGGCACCGGGAGAAAAGGCCCCAGGAAGGAGAGATGGCTCGCCGTTCAGTTTGGGATGTTTTGTTCCCGCAGTCCAGGGTGATCCAGAGCGGCCCTGGGGAAGTGACCTCTGTTTCCCACGCAGTCACTGCTGGTTGTCCGGACGGCAGCTCTGCTCTCAGACCTCTTTTGTGAGATTTTGCTTAACCCTCTGGAGGAAAGGAAGGAAGAGGATCCTCTCATGTTTGTTCATGTTGAGGGGTGGAGAGGACACTCCAGTGCCCCTTTGCCTTTGAGCTCATAAACAGGCTGAACTTGAGGGTCTCGGTGAGCCCCCAAAGATGGTATGCCAAGGGGTCACAGCCCTCAAAGGAGTCCTTGGTGGCTGAAAGCGTTCAGAATCACTGATCCAGACAGATGGGAACTCTGGGTTTCCTGTTTAGAGAGAGAGAGAGAGAGAAAGAAAGAGAGAGAGAGAGAGAGTGAGTAAATAGATCAGCGTGCTATTATCGGCACAAGGGTTTGTTCATTACAGGTAGCTTATGCTGCCCAGGCAGATAAAAATGTGGGAGCACCTTCTACAATCTCTGTACAGTGGCCTACTTCTCCCACCTGATCTTCATTTTATTTTATTTTAATGAAATAAAATATATTTTATTGATTTTTCACAGAGAGGAAGAGAGAGGGATAGAGAGTTAGAAACATCGATGAGAGAGAATCATCGATCAGCTGCCTCTTGCACACCCCCCATTGGGGATGTGCCCTCAACCAAGGTACATTCCCCTGCCTGGAATCGAACCCGGGACCCTTCAGTCCGCAGGCCTATGCTCTATCCACTGAGCCAAACCGGTCCCGGCTATTTTAAATATATTTTTATTGATTTCAAAGAGGAAGGGAGAGGGAGAGAGATGGAAACATCAATGCTGAGAGAGAGTCATTGATCAGCTGCCTCCTGTCTGCCCCACACTGGGGAATCAAGTTCAATCCTGGCATGTGCCCTTGACTGGAATCGAACCTGGCACCTTTCAGTCCACAGGCTGATGTTCTATCCACTGAGCCAAACCTGCTAGGGCCCACCTGATCTTTTTTTAAATTGAGTTTATTGGGTTGACATTGGCTAATAAAATGATAGGCTTCAGGTATACAGTTCTACAACACATCTTCTGTGTATTATTGTATTGTGTTTACCATCCCAAGTCAAGTCTCCTTCCATCAGCATTTCCCCCCCTTTTCCCCCTCTTCTACCTCCCCCACCCCCTTCTCTCTGGCAATCACCATAGTGTTGTCTGCATCCACGAGTCTTTTTGTTTCTTTGCTTAATCCTGACACCTCACCCAGCACCCACCATCTGATCTTTCTTGTATTAAGCTTGAATATAGCACTTCTGGTGTTTCTTCGGCACAGGCCTGGGCCTGGCGCTTTGAGTGGTGATGTTTTGACTGGAGAGTTGACCTGTTGTTATTTTGGATGCTGAGGAACCGGGGCTCTTTCTGCCTGTCCCTGTGATCACCCACCTGCACTCCAGGTGCTCAAAGGATGTTTCCTCAGCCATATCCGGGCAGGTGGCTTCACACATTCCTCCCACCCCCCAGCCTCCGAGTCTCTCTTTTTTAAGGGGGAGGGTGGGGACCAGCGGAAGGGGTGCGGTAAGGATACCTGCCATGGCTTCTTTGAGGTGGTCCTGATCAAATGATGGGTGCAGTGGGAGGGGAACATGTTCACCCCAGAGCCTCACTTTGGCTTTGGACTTGAGCTTGTGCTTGGGCTAATTCCCTGTGTGATCTCGGGGGAGTTGCTGGACCAGACTGAGCCTCATCTACCCAGTCTCATGGGTGGATTGTGATATTTAGTGGGTGGCATCCAGCATTTTTAGAAATGGAATAAAATAGATTCAAATGGAAAATAGCAGCGTGCATCGGATGTATTCGTAGATTTTATTTTGTTTGACATGCTTTGTATAATTGTGATAAAAAGTTCTTACTTTTTTTTTTTTTTACTGGAGGCTTGAGATAAAAAAGAAAATGTTGGTACCCCCAGGATGAGATGCTCCGGGGAGGGTTTCTTTCAGCCCCAACTTTGTGTGGGTCCCGCCCACAGGTCTGAGCTGCTGGGTCTCCTCCCACCACTCCAGCTGAGCCTGTAAATGGAGCCCCTTGCAAATCACAGTCTTTAAAGCTCTTTACAAAATTCTGGGAAATGAGCTGCATTCCTGGGGTGGAATAAATCATGTTGAGTTAGGCTAGGCAGGATGTGACTGCAAACCCCTGAAGTGGGCTGTGTGAGGGCAGTGCCTGTGACTGACTCATTATGAGCTTAGTGGCGACACAGGCTTCTTGAGAGAAGAGGCAAAGATTGGGGGGAGGGGAGCTGGCCGCCCAGGGCGCCGCCAAGTACCACTCCTCCGATAGCTCATTCTGGTCCTCACAATGGTCCTGTGAGTGGAGCAATGCTCCGACCACATGGCAGAGACGGGGCTGACACTCTGTACTGTGCAACTCACAGCTGTCCTCGGGGGTGGCTGCTAGCACAGCACCTCCATTTTGCAAATGGAGAAACCGAGGCCTGGGGCCATGCCACCCCGGGGAAGTTTGCTCTGTTAGTTCAGCGATGCGCCTGCGCCTGGAATTCCTCTGTCAGCCAGGCTGCCTCCCGAGTCTGATTCTTTCTAAGATGCTGTCTGTAAAGGTCACCAATAAGCTTATCGCCAGGTGGAAGGTTTCTCTCCTATTAGTGGAGTGACTTGAATGACTCCCTCCATCAATTTAGGAAGATTGTTTTTGACCCATGGCCCGTCGCATGTCTCTCAGAAACAAAACAAAGATCAGTGGACATCAGATGTAGCTGGAAGGAGGGAGGGTGAGGAGAATAGGACAGTGATGTGGTCCTGGACCCTTCGCTGCTCTGCCTGACAAGGTGAGAATGAGTCACACGAGAGTCACTTATGTTTGGAAAACAAGATGTGGGATTATGGGGCTTTAAGAATGGGGTCAGAGAGTCTGTAGAGTTCAGACTCTTTGGGAGACTATTGCTTCAGTACCTGCACTTTGGACTGGGAGGACCCAGCGGTGACTGGGACACATTGTGGCCTTAGCGCTCAGCCCTGCCGGATCAGAGTTAAGGTGGCTATTGGTGCAAGCAGCTACACGGTTCTCTGTTATTTCAGTGTTACTTACACATCACTTAGAAGAGCACGCTGCTGAAGGACTGGTGGCTTCTGGGCTGGGGAGTTTTCAGAAAGTGTCTCCTGTTCCTCATGTTGCCCCGGGTTTCTCAGCCTCCTGATGTGGATGCAGGAAGCCAGCACTTTTCCACGAGACAGCGACCGTATAGTTAAATCTTTGCAGTGAGGTTATTTTTTTGCATGGGTTTCAGCAAGCCGCTCATTTGCTTGAGGAAAGGAAACCCGTGCAGGACCAGAGGGAAGGAATTACTTCGCTGCAGAACCTGAATGGCTCACATTGCCCGTGCGCGGGAGGGGAGCTGGAGCAAGCTCGGGAGATGCTATCTGCCGGACAGCAGGCTCGGTGTGTTCAGGGAACATTCATTCCTGAGGGGCAGGCGGCCAGCCAGTTGTCAGCCTTGTCACACCGGGGGCCAGTCTGAGGGCAGAACCTGCGCTGGTCAGGAGGGGATATCTTCCCTGGAATTACTTGCTTCTCTTTGCAGTGTCTCCTGGACTGCTGAGTGCAAGGTCATACCCAGGTAGGCGAGGCCTCAGGTATGACCTCACTGTCCAGATATGGGCTACTTTACAAGTAAGGTCAAGGCCCAGTGCAGATGACTTTCCTGCAGATCCACAGAGCCAGCCGGTGGCCCGGCCTCTTCCCATTTAGTGAGAGCTGCTCATGTACCAGCCCGCCTTTCTCCCTCTCTCCCTCTCTTCCTCTCTCCCTTTTTCCCTTTATCCCTCTTTCCCTCTCTCCCTCTCTTCCTCTCTCCCTCTTTCCCTTTGTCCCTCTTTCCCTCTCTCCCTCTCTCTTTGAGGGGTGAGGAGCGGTTGGCTTTGGAATGGTGAACTCTTGGACAGCCATGTTCCCAGATGACAAAATGTGAGTGTAAACCCAGCACTGGGAGCAGCTCACTTCACTTCCCCAAGTGCTGATTGAGGACTCCCTCTATGCAGTACCCCGGGCTCAGTCAGCACCTGAGTAGGGAGCAGGAGACAGTCCCTGCCTTCGAGGAGTTCTAGGGATGACGGTGGGACAGGCAGAGAAGCAGCGGCTCTGGGAGGAGGCAGATTGCGCTGTAGACTGCGGGGTGGGTATGGGTGGGGAGGACAAAGATGAATAATATAGTAGGTATTAGGAAAGGCTGCCTGGGCCATCTGGGAAGAGACATCCTCCAGGAGCCATGGCCCAAATGGAGGGTGTCTGGAGGTGACGAGAGAGGTGAGCTGGAAAGTTGGTTGGGTTTTGAAGGCCACGGGCTGTCATTCTGAATGGAGCTGCCTTCAAGCTCTCTGCTTTGTGCCCTGATTGATTGGTCACGTGATTCGTTTATGAAGAAATAGTTTCTGTGCCCAAAGCCTGTATCTGTGGCCCTGAGGACGGGGGTATCTTAGTGGAGGAGAATCCGCTGGGCACTTTGGTCTGCCTGACACCTGATGTGTGAGATCAATGGCGGAAGCGTTCCTAATCCTGAGCCAGGCTGTTTGGAGTAGCAGCTCAGACCCTGAAATCTGTGCAGTGTTTGCCCCTCTTGTGGTGTTTAATCACCTTTCCCCTAGCCTCCTCACAGAACTCTCTCCTCCTGTCTTAGATAAAAAAGCCCCTCCCGACTAATCCATGCTACTTTCCCACTGTGGGCCTTGCCCCCTTAAATTGAGGTCAGGGTGGGTGATCTTTTTAAAATACAAATCCAATGATGTCACCCTCATTATTTCCCACCTCCTGAGGTGGCCTCACCTTATCCCTAGAATAAAATCTACATTCCTCCGCACGGCTGATAAGATCCCGGGTTAGCTGCTGTCTCTATCCCCTCCAGCTTCATCTTTAACTACCCTCCCCTCCTCCCACCGCCACCCAACTCCCCCCTCATTCCTTACACGTATGGGGGAGGGAAATCTATGCATAAAACTCTGGTGTCATTTTTCAAAATTAAAAAAATATATATATATTTTATTGATTTTTTTACAGAGAGGAAGGGAGAGGGATAGAGAGCTAGAAACATCCATGAGAGAGAATCATCGACCAGCTGCCTCTTGCACACCCCCTTCTAGGAATGTGCCCGCAACCAATGTACATGCCCTTGACTGGAATCGAACCTGGGACCTTTCAGTCCACAGACCGACGCTCTATCCACTGAGCCAAACCGGTTTTGGCAAAACTCTGGTGTCATTTTGGATGCTCTGGGTTCGTTGGGTGCAGGGCAGTCAGATGACCGCAGGCTTCGCCTTCCGTGCCTTCTTCCCTCAGGCAAACACGAGCATTTCTCATGTTCCCTGGGATTCTCAAGGAGTTCTGGGAAGTCTCCCCCTGGGCCTCGGAGGAGGGAAGGGCAAAGGGGATGAGTTGGGGGTTCTGGTGCTAAATTCCTCTCTGCCCCATCTCTGGTCTGGTTTTCTTATCTGCGAAGCATCAGCACAGGCTGGTTGGAATACTGCTAAGGGAAACAAGTCCCAGCTTCTTCTGTAAGCAAACAACATTCCTGAGGTCGGAAGGGAGGGGGCCCTCAGCAGCCCTCCCAGTCCTCAGCAGCCCCCGTCCTCCCCCCTTCTTAGCTTGGGAGGATGAGCACCTAAAGGGAAACTGCTGTACCGC